CTAAAAAAATGGCTCCCAAACTTTAGCATGCACTATCACCTACTGACTAAGTGGCTCCAGGGTGAGGCCCGATAATGTGCATTTCTATCAAGTTCCCAGATGATGTTGATGCTGGTCAGGTGACAACACTTTGAGATCCAGGGCTCTAGATTAGGGGTTGGCAAACATTTCCTCTAAAAGGCTGGATAAATATTTTAGATTTGGGGGCCATACAGTCTCTGCTACAACTACTCAAAATACAAAAGCAGCCAAAGACAATATGTAGATAGATGGCTGTGGCCATGTTCCAATAAATCATTATTTATGGACACTGAAATTTCAATTTCATATAATTTTCAAAGGATTATTATTTCAGTAATATGATTTTTTTGATTTTTTTTCAACTACTTAAAAATGTGAAACCGTTCTTAGTTTGTGAGCCATACAAATTAGGCAGTGGGCTAGATTTGGCTCATAAGCCATTTTGCCAATCCCTGGTTCTAGATGAATGGTTGGTTCTCAGTCCTGGCTCCCCACCAGAAATAGCTGAGGAGCTTTTAAAAGACCCAGATACGTAAGTGCCATCCCATGAGATTCTGAATTAATTAGTCTAAGCTCTAATTAATGAATAACCAGGAATAAGAATTACTGATATTAAAAAAAAAAATTACTGATCTTAACCAATATTCCCCCAAGTGACTTCTAAGGATATTTAGGGTTTAATAAGCCTTACATGAATGGAGGTTTCTGGGGTCAGGTAAGTTTGGAAAATGAAATTTAAGCCTTTTTTACTGCATGTATCCCACAATATTCTCATAAGTATCTAAGAGGGGACTATAATATGCAATGTTTTCCAATGCATTTGACTACCTAATCCATGGATCTAGTGTTCTATGAAGTACTCAGAAAACACTGGCTTCAATCTTTCATAAAGAATAACATTAATAACTTAATACTTAGGTTCATAAAGTTACAACAAAATATGAGGAGAAATTAATTTAAAAATGAGAAATACAACTAATTCTTATCAAAATAATAAAAAAGAAAAACTCCTGGGCGCCTGGGTGGCTCAATTGGTTAAGCGACTGCCTTCAGCTCAGGTCATGATCCTGGAGTCCCGGGATCGAGTCCCACATCGGGCTCCCTGCTCAGCAGGGAGTCTGCTTCTCCCTCTGACCCTCTTCCCTCTCGTGCTCTCTATATCTCATTCTCTCTCTAATAATCTTAAAAAAAAAAAAAAACTCCTGATAAATCTAAAATTAAAAAGAAAAAAGTCACAAAATAACAGGAAAGTATTTTTAAAAAGATGGAAGAGGGGCACCTGGGTGCCTCAGTCAGTTAAGTGTCCAGCTCTTGATTTCAGCTCAGGTCATGATCTCAGGGTTGAGATAGAGCCCCCTCCCGCTGCCCCCCCCCATCAGGCTTAGCACTAGGTGTGGAATCTGCTTGAGATTCTCTCTCTCCCTCTGCCCCTCCCCCCACTCATGCTCTGTCTCTTTTTCAAATACATAAATAAATCTTAAAAAGATGGAGAGGGCGCCTGGGTGGCTCAGTCGTTAAGCGTCTGCCTTCGGCTCAGGTCATGATCCCAGGGTCCTGGGATCAAGCCCCACATCGGGCTCCCTGCTCCGCGGAAGCCTGCTTCTCCCTCTCCCACTCCCCCTGCTTGTGTTCCCTCTCTAGCTGTATCTCTCTCTGTCAAATAAATAAATAAAATCTTTAAAAAAAAAAAAAGATGGAGAAATACAATGATAAATTTGAAAAAAAAATCAAAGTCAAAGATGGTTTTCTACAATGTCAAATCTAATATAAAGGATATAGAAAATGTGAACACATCAGTAACTACAGAAAAAAGTAAAAAAGAATTACCAATGTCCTCAACAACATTTTGTAAAAAAAGGAGATAAGGATGCAGGGTCTCAAAAGATTTCTTGGTAATCGCTCTCAAACTTTTTAAGGACTACATGACTCCTTGATAAATCCAAAGGATGTTTTATCATTATCTCCTTGCCAGACACATTGTAAGCACTCAGCAAATATAGCAAACATATTTTTTTTAAATACTATTAAAAATAACTTTTCCCAGGAAAAAAAAGTAAAAGTTTTCTCACATCATTTCCATGATACCAGCAGCAGTCAGTACCTCATGCCCTGAAAAGTATTAAACTGTTCAGGTTCTTCTTACTCTATGCGATCTGAGGAGAAAAGGTGCCAGGGTATGCTACAGAAAGGAGAAAAAAGCCTCTGGCCCCACTGGAAAGGAAAGTCAGTGAAACTAACCCTCCTCCCCTTCACAGCATCTTACACCACAGCATCCTAATAACCTAGCTTATTAACTAGAAGGACCTTTCCTGACATGATGAAAAACCAAAGCATGAAGTAGTCATGTAACAAAATAAACTGCTATGCAAGTGAACTCTGCACAGAACACAAGAGAGACAAATAGCTTCTAAGAAACTGGATCTTTGTTATCTTACTGTTTGGCCTGGGAATGCCCACAAATGCAGCAACAGCCTAGTGGTACTCTCCAAGCATTATGGGCCATGCTGTCTGAAACAGTGGCATGTGAATGTCAACAGTGATATAAAATGAAAGCATTCTACACTCACTTAAGGCAAACTTGTATAAACCTAAAAGTGCCTGATTAATCAGTTTCAGAACACAAGAAAAGACTTCATATTGTTAATTCATTTTAAGAAGCATTTCACTAAATCTCCAAATCTAAGTACGAAAAAAATGTTTTAAAAATACTTTTAGAGACATCTGGGTGGTTCAGTTAAGCATCCAACTCTTGATCTCAGGTCAAGTCTTGATCTCACTCAGGTCATGAGTTCAAGCCCTGTGCTGGGCTCCATGCTGGGCATGGAGCCTACTTAAAGAGAAAAAACAAAAAAACAAAAAAAAACCTGGGAGAAAAGTAATACTTTAAAAAAATCATTTCCATTAAATACTTTAAAAATAGGAATGAATGAGCTTTTGATATGCCAAATAAAAGGAATCAAAATTAGAGATAATGGAGAAAAGTAAAAAAAATACTATTTTTAGATATGATTCACTACCTAGAAAACCTAAAGTATCTGGCACAACATATACTCAGTAGAACATAACTCTGAGATCTCCATTATCAGATTACTTTTTTTAAATACATTGTCCTCTATAGTGGTTAAGTATACCAGATCTCAACTTAACTCTTAATTAGAGATAATCAGGGAGAAGGGAAAAAAAAAAAAAAGAGCTGGATCTGAATTGAAAAGAGGGAAGTAAAGGGCCAAGAAAGGCAAGCTACTTGAAGTCATAGAAATGACAAATGCCAGAGGATGATATGAATCCTTGCATAATTCCCAAGCCTGCACTCTTTCCATTTTGCCACAGTGCCAAAGGCACCTTTAGCTTAATGGATATTTTTTTTTTAACACCTATTATGCACCAAGCACAAGAGTATGAAAATGAGTAACATATCATGTTTTAAGGAGACCTAAGTTAAGTCAATTGACCCATCTTTTGGTTTAAAACCTAGGTCTCTTAGGGGCACCCGGCTGGTTCAGTAGGTAGAGCATGCAACTCTTGATTCAGGGTCGTGAAGTCAAGCCCCATGTTGGACATAGAGCTTAATTTAAAAAAAAAAAAAAAAAAAAAAAAGGAAAGTATTCTCCAAACAAATAAATCCTAGGCCTCCTAAATCCAGGTTCAGTGATCCTTCTACCTCATAATCATTATGTAATTTAAAATCATATGCTTTAACATGCAAAATATTATTCTTCCTATGTATAATAAACACCATTTTTAAAAAGATTTATTTATCTATTTATTTATTTATTTATTTATTTATTTATTTGAGAGAGAGTATGTGCATGTGTGTGCACGTACACACACACAAACGCATGCACGCGTGAAGTCAGGGGACAGAGGGAGAAGGAGAGAAGCATATTCCCTGACGAGTGCAGAGCCCACCTGGAGCTCAATCTCACCTCCCTGAGATCATGGCCTGAGTCGAAATCAAGAGTCAGGGGCTCAACTGACTGAGCCACCCAGGCGCCCCAATAAACACTATTTTAGTACTGGAGATAATTCCAAAGTTTTTATTGCAAATGTTATTACAAGAGTACCAAAAAGGATGACAACCCGCAGAAGACTTTTCTTGTGCCTTTAAGGTATCCTCAGTCCTGAACACACACAAAAAATGTAAGAAACAATTCAGGAATGGGGGAAGGGAGGAGGAGCTGAGTTCTAAGTCCATTTCCAAAACAAACTCATTCAATTCAGATATAGCACATGCTCAAATATATCACTTGCAAATTTCCTACTGATATTTTAATGTAATCACTTAGAAACATGAACATTTAAGAGGCTTCAGTAGTCATTCTCAGCAATCTTTTAAGAAAATCTCAGGTAATTCAATATCTGTACAGCTTAGAGAAATGTGGGCTTAAAAATAATATAGTTCAATGGATTTATGAGGGATGAACATCCATAATCATTAAGAAATCTGCAAAAGGCTCTGTATCGGATCTTAACTGTTCAACATTTTTGATCACTGACAAGATAAAGACCAAGAAATTATATTGAAACAACAGAAAAAAGCTTCAGAAAATCACCAATTTCTCTTTCACGTCTCCTGTTCAGCAAAATAGAAGCTGCAGCTGGCTATCTGTCCTATTGAGACAAGGGAGAAATATAAAAAGCAAGCAAGGCTTTCCAAAACAACTTGAGGAAAATGCCCTAATAATATGGGCCAAAGGAGGAAGTAACCCATTCAGGAGAAAAACCAGGGAGCAGAGTAAAACAGAAGGACTCCCATCATCTACCAACTAATCTATGAACAATATGTGGAGATTCTGACCACTTATTTAAAAGAAAATAATACACAGGGATAACTGAACTTTAAAAATCATTCTTCTGATAAAGTTAATTCCAGCATAAATAGGTGATTTTCTCATAACACTGGTAATCGCTGGCCAGGTAAAATTACAAAAAAAAACATGTTAAGATAAGGTTTCTTTATAAATAAAAACTATACTTACCACAATCCATTCAGCAATGTTTTCATAGAGTTCTGGACTAAAAATTGCTTTTTTAAGCCTAGCCAGAGGTCCATCAGCATCTACTAATCTGCACCGCATGAAAACATCACAGTAGCCTCTAAAATCATTGCAAGGGGATCCAGGTTGCAAGGTGATGGTTCGACCAACGAAGTGCATGCTCCACCGCGAAGACCCTGTACTGGCACAAGTTGATGGATCCACTGGAAAAGAAGCGCCAAATATAAGTTGAAGATCAGATTTCCTACCAGGCTAGCTGGGAAGAGAGGGAGGAAAGGAAAAAACTGCCTAAAATCATTACCATGACATGTAATATAGACTTGCATAAGTTTAGGCTGGATAACACCATTAGTAATTCGCCTTAAACATACAATATAAACAAACAGCCAGCAACTCTTGACTTAGTACCTACAATGGCTTAGTACCTAAAATGGCTAACAGTGTTTATATTAATTATCGCCATAAAGTTGGCAGGTTTTTGTCTAGCTTATCATTTTTAAAACACTGTAGGGACCATAATACTAGAAACATAATGCTATGCTACATTTAAAATTTTCCAAAAAGGATCGGTATTGGTGGAAATTATCTGTCCAAACTGGATAACAAAGTTTAATGCTTAAAACTTAGGAGAAAAACGGGCGCCTGGCTGGCTCAGTTGATACAGCATGTGACTCTTGATCTTGGGGTCGTGAGCTCAAGCCCCATGTTTGGGGTAGAGTTTACTTAAAAAAAATATATATTTAGGGGCACCTGGTTGACTCAGTCAGAGGAGCATGCAACTCTTGATCTCAGGGTTGTGAGTTCAAGCCCCACGTTGGGTACAGAGGTTACTAAAAATAATAATAATAATGATAATAAATAAACTTTAAAAAAATTTAGGAGGTTTTTTTTTTTTTAAGATTTTATTTATTTATTTGACAGAGAGAGACACAGTGAGAGAGGGAACACAAGCAGGGGGAGTGGGAGAGGGAGAAGCAAGCTTCCCGCCGAGCAGGGAGCCCGATGCAGGGCTTGATCCCAGGACCCTGGGATTATGACCTGAGCCGAAGGCAGATGCTTAACGACTGAGCCACCCAGGTGCCCCAGAAAAATTAGGTTTTAAAAGAGATTTTATATTGGGGCGCCTGGGTGGCTCAGTTGGTTAAGCGACTGCCTTCGGCTCAGGTCATGATCCTGGAGTCCCGGGATCGAGTCCCTGCTCAGCAGGGAGTCTGCTTCTCTGTCGGACCCTACCCCCCTCATGCTCTCTCTCTCTAATTCTCTCTCTCAAATAAATAAATAAAATCTTTAAAAAAAAAAAGATTTTATATTCTTGTGTTTTAAAAGCCTTACTCTTCTTCATACAGCAGACGTGGCATAATTCCTTATCATCTTTGCCATCTGAACTGGCACAGGTACACTCCTCCAAGCCATACTTCTCACAGATAGAACCTGCACATTGCTGAAAGAAAAGTAAAAGACCAGTTTTTAATCTCTATACAAACCTATTGTTCACAGTAATAGACAGATAGACATCTCTGATGCTAAAATAATTAAGTAGAAATACAAGTGGAAAAAACAAAGATTAATATCAGAAATGGATCATATAAACACACCCGAAAAAGAGTTAAGTACAAATAAGGTAGCAAATCTTTTAAAGAAATGCCAACTTAAAAAAATCTAAACAAAACCAAAACAGAGAAAGAGATTAGGTGAGCATCAGTTTTACACTGGTTATTATGGCTCCTTTATAAGAAGAGAAAAATGATTATTTTCCTCCTGTAAAGTAAAGTGAATATTGAGCCAAGAAAGTTTTAAAGGCTTCACATTCAGATAAAATGGCCAAAAGAGTTCTTTTATGTAGGCTGTTGAAATACTAATTTATAAAACTCAAAAGCAGTACCAAGTCATATGCCTAGCTATACAACTATTTTCCTCTAGAGACTATCAAACACATGCAGTGGACAGATGAAAGATAAGTCAGTTACTAATCAAATACCACCAGGCACTTATGCCACATGATACATTCATGGCTTTATGGGGAAAGAGAGGGATATTATTGAAACAGGGACCAGGCTTAATTACTGGAACTCTGCAGCTTTAAGTAACAAACAATTATTCTGAAAAAGGAGGTTTAATAAAAAGCTTATAAATCAAATGCTCACCCCATTAATGCACACTTGTGTATGCCTATTACAGTCTGTAAAGTTTGGTTTAGGATCAGAGGCTGGGCAGAGAGCGGTGATGCCATTACATATTCCTTCTTTTGCACAGTCTGAATCATCCCGACACTTCTCAGTTTTTGATTTGAATGCACACTGTGCTGTACAACAGGGACCTTGACTTGGGCTAGAATAAACAGTAAAGTGATTAAAGAAAATCACTAGCATATTTCCTATACACATAGATATGGTCCTAATTTTTAAATCATAACTCTCATCTTTTAAATGGTAAGTATGTTACTGGTATACAACTTCAAATTTTGGACTAAGAGGCTACTAAATTTCAACATTCTATAAATGTAAAAAAGTGATTGTGTTGTTTTTATAATCAAGGCATACTATATTCAACATTCTTATTCTACGTGCCTTTAGTGGAAGGCTACCATAGAAAATAGATTTAATATTAAGTGAGCTATCAGTGTTTCAGTTACATCATACATTAGTTGATTCATCAAATTTTCTCACATTTATATGCTAAAATCAAACTAAGATATACAGACCAACCATTTAAAAAGTAGTGCACAAGCAATATTCTATTGCTTATATCTACCACTACCAAAGTAATTTTGACAAGTGAAATAATTATATGACACTAAGTTACAAGAGTCTACGAAATCAGTATTACCTAAATATTTAAAGTTAAGATTCTAAAAATACGGATGATAGTCACATTTTTAAGTTAGGAACTGAACAGTGTGTATTTTACTGAGTGTCCTGACTTTTGTCTGTCTTTTTTTTTTATACCCACCACACAAGTTACAAGTAGCTCAATCTGCCAACCACAGTACACTCATCAATGCTACTCCAGAAAAATAAATAAGACAACAGCAAATAAAGACGAAGATTCCCAACACTATGCATCTCTTAATGTCAGTTTTAAGTCGGTCACAACTGCCCTCGGCTGACCGGTGGCAGCGTGAGCACTCCTGGAACGGGCAGGGTACCTGCACTGCTTCCCAGGCTTCAGCTTGCATTTCTTGCCCTCTGGCTGGTTTGCATCATAGCAGCACTCATCTTTACACTGGTCACTATAGCCACAGTCACATTCTTCACCTTGCTCCACCATCCCATTTCCACAAATAGGTTGGCCAGATTCTGAGGAAAATCAATAAAACAAAGTAAGCATTGTCTGCATACATTAATTTGATTTAAAATCCACAAACTTTGGAACCTCATAACAAAGGGAGAAAGGATAATTTGATGAATACAAAAAGCAGAACTAGGAATCTCGAAATCAGAAGACCTAAATTCAATTCTAAGAGTGGCTCAGTCACTAGCAATGTGGCCTTGGGCAAGTCACTTCCCTTTTGGGGGGCCTCAGTTTCTTAATCTATACAGTGAAGAGATTTGACATTATGGTCCCCTCTGAGGTCCCTTCTGGAAGTGGTAACATTCTATTTAGGCCACACTGAGCTTTACTGAACAACCGCACTATTTACATTACGCAAATAAGAATTAAGTTAGTGCTTTAACAACCAGAAAAAAATTAAATCTTTTGTGTTAAAAGAAAATTTCAAACATACATAGTAAAGTAGTAGAAGAACAATGAACTCCCATGTACCAATCACTTGGCTTTAACAACTATCAACAATATGCTATAAACAATTCCACCTAACATATTCATTTATTCTTGTAAATACTCCAGGATGAATCTAAGAGATAGGAGTTTGTTTCTTTTTTAAATCTAACCATAATAGCATTATCACATCTAACAAAATTAACAATATGCTTAATAGCATCTAATAGCCAATTCATGTTCAATTTCCTCAACTGTCTTTTTACAGTTGGTTTATTTGAACCAAGTTCCACCTAAGGATCCTCAACCCCATGGCTGGTTTTGGTTGATACATGTTCTTTTAATATATAAGCGATTCCTTCCTCTCTTTTTATTTTCACACTATTTAAAGAAATTGGGTCATTTTGTCTTACAGAATTTCCCACATTGTGTTTAGCTGATTGTATCCTAGTCAATAAATAATTTTTTTTTAATGTACATTAACTTGCTACTCAGCTAGACCCAAGCTCTCTAAGGAAAGAACTACATATTACTCCTATTTTTTTATATTCCCAAAAAGGCTAACAGTATTGGGTCAAATCTTGGCTCATTAAGGTTAGTCTGGTCTAGGCACAGTGAGTAATTTTAGAAAAGTTTTTAGGCTCTTTTTTAAAGTTCTCGAATTTTATCAATGGGCTTTAAAATTGGAAGAGGAATGCTATTCTTTGTAAGATCAGAAGATCACAGACCTTGAGCATCTGCAGGGAGATGACAAGAATCAAATGTCTTCACTTTCTAGAAAAGAAAAGTAACTTCCAGAGAGTCTGTGACTTGCTGGAAACCATATGCCTCAGTATGGGCAAATCGAAGACCAAACCCAGGTTTCTGGGATCTAAAATCTGGTGCTCTTTTCTTTCTGCTACATCAAATTGATGTGGGAAACAGGTGTAGCACAGGCTTCAAATTGAGAACTGAATAAACATAAAGGAACACATCTCAAACACATGAACTCAACAGAAGGCAAATCTGAATCCAAATTATTCTAGAAAGACTAGCTTTATATTTAGAAAGTTCATTCTTAACCGCATCAAATATTAAAGGAAATCTTAGAGTTAACTGAAGCTCTCTCCCTCTCTTTCATTTTATATCACCTCTTCTGTTATGCACATGGACATATATCCTAAGTAATAATGACTTTATTCTGAAGTATTGTAAAATCATCATTTCAGAATTCATAGGATATGTAATTTAAGAGAAAAGGAAAAATGATGAAGTCAGAAAACCTCTGAGGCAATATTTACTATACATTGGTTTTTATCTCATATAGAAATATTACTTCAAATAAGCTAGGACACATGGAAAAGGTGCTGTTTAAATGCAAAAATTATAACAGACACATATCTCATTATAATCTAAGAAACAAATTTCCTTGGGGTGCCTGGGTGGCTCAGTCGTTAAGCGTCTGCCTTGGGCTTGGGTCATGATCCCAGAGTCCTGGGATCGAGCCCCACATCGGGCTCCCTGCTCCGCGGGAAGCCTGCTTCTCCATCTCCCACTCCCCCTGCTTGTGTTCCCTCTCTCGCTGTGTTTCTCTCTGCCAAATAAATAAATAAAATCTTTAAAAAAAAAAAAACAAATTTCCTTACCATAATACCTACAAAACAATATGCTCATTTTTAAAAGACAACTTCACTCAGAAAGTTTACTGTGAAAATCCGGTTTACAAATAAAGACTCTATGTAGCACTTCTACATAAGACATTTTAGAAACCTACCAGTGATAATAACAAGAGCAGTAACAAAAATGATACCATCAATATAATTTGAATCTGCCCTTTTAAAAGAAATAGAAGGCCTTAAAAGAAAAAGCCAATCAATATAAGTAAAAATTGAAATTTGGGGCTGATCAAAATTTAATTTTTACTCTGGGAAAGATTCTGTGAAGAGGATAAAATGACAAGCTACAGACTGGAAGAAAAATATATGCAGATCAGTATCTGACGAATGGCTAGTATGTAGGCTATGTAAAGAACTCTCAAAACTCAACAGAAAAAAAAATCCAATGAGAAATGGCCAAGAAACATGGACATTTCACCAAAGAAGATACACAGATGGCAAATAAAGCACATGAAAAGATGAACAACTTTAGTCATCAGAAAAATATAAATTAAAACCACAACAAAATATCACTATATGCCTATCAGAACGGATAAAATAAAAACAATAAAAACACCAAAAGCTGGCAAGGATGCAGAGAAACTAGATCACTTATACACTGCTGATAGGAATCTAAAATAATACAGCCACTCTAGAAAACACAGCAAACTATTACTATATGATCCATCAACTGGATTTGGGAGCATTTATCCCAGAGATATGAAAACTGATGTTTGCATAAAAAACCTATACACAAATGTTTATAGCTGCTTTATTCATAATAGCCAGAAACTAAAAATAGCCCAGATAGCCTTTAACAGGTGAATGAACTTTCTAAATATAAAGCTAGTCTTTCTAGAACAGTTTGGACTCAGATGCCTTGCACTGGGTTCATGTGTTTGAGCTGTGGTTCCCTTGTAGCCTGTGCCACAACTGTGAATGAACTGAGGAACATACACGCCATGGAATACTACTCAGCAATAAAAACAAGCTCCTGATACGGGCAACAGTTTGAATGAATCTTCAGGGAATCATGCTGAGCGAAAAAAGCCAATCTCAAAGGTTACATGTTGTATGATTCCATTTATACAACATTCTGGACTGACAAAATTTTACAAATGGAGAATGGTTTAGTAGGGCATCGGTCAGGGGATGGCAGGAGGGTGGTAGGTAGGTGTGTTTCCCCTCAAATAACTTATAATCTTGTGAAATAGGACAGGGACCCAAACAAACATAATACAAGGTAGAATATTTAGAACATATTAAATGCCACAAGAGAGGCATAACAGATGAATGGATAAACAAAATGTGGTATTATTCATACAACGGAATATTATTCAGCCATAAAAAGAATGGCATTCTGATACATGCTACAATTTGAATGAATCTTGAAAGTTTTATGCTAAATGAAATAAGCCAGACACAGCAGGCCAAATACTGTATGATTCCATCTGTATGAGGTACCTAGAATAGGCAAATTCATAGACACAGAAAATAGATTAGAGGTTACCAAGTAGGGAGAGAGGGAAGCAGGAGTTACTGCTTAATGATTACAGAATTTCTATCTGGAGAGATGAAAAAGTTTGGAAATGCGTAGTGGTGATGGTTGCACACCACTATGATGTACTTAATGCCACTGAACTTTAACTTAAAATTAGCTTAGATATTAATAAAAATTATACATATTTTATATCTTTTCTTTACTGTAAGGCAAAAAAAATTTCACAGCAGCTTTATTCATATTAGCCGAAACCCAAAGGGCCCAGGTGTTAATCAATAGGAGAGTGGATGAGCAAAGTGTGATATATTCATACAGTGCAATATGAACTGCTCAGCAGTAAAACAGAACAAAACAGTAATAATGAATCTCAAAATCTGCTGAGTGAAAGCAGCCCTCCACAAAAGAATATAAACCATATGATTCCACTTATATGAAGTAAAACAAGCAAAATTTCTCTACAATGAAATAAATCAGAACAATGGTTGCCTCTGAGAATGTGTTGGGGGCAGAAACTGCGAAAGGAAATAAAAGAACTTTGTGAGGTGACAGAAATATTCTGTATTTTGAGAGGTGCTTAGGTTACACAGGTAAATGCATCTGTCAAAGCTCATTAAATGGTGGACTTAACTGTGCAACATTTTATGTTAAAAAAAAAAAAAGAACCACAAACAATATTGAACTTTAGTTAATTATACAGGCTGAAGTGTTTAAGGGTGAGGCATACTAATGTCTGCAATCCACTTTAAATTGCAACAAAAAAAACACGGGATTGAGGGATGAATAAATTAATAAATAAGTGGTAAAGTAAATACAGCAAAAACAGCAAAGTTTTAATAGTTATAAAATAGAGGTGGTGGGTGCATGGGTATTTCAAGTTTTCTGAATGTTTGAAAATATATGTTGGGAAAACATACATACCAACAAAACAGTTGTTTCTCTTCTTCTCAAGAACTTGGCTTATATTTCTAATACTACAGAGTGAGAATTTATTGTTGTTAAGTTTGTCCCCGGATGTTGCTCTTGCATACATGATGTAATTGCCATTTTCTTTCTGCCCTAAATTCTTAGATTCTCCTGGAGTGCACTCTGTTCCAGAATCATGCTGCCAAACAGAATATAGAGTTACATAAACAGGAAGTAAAATAAGGTTTTCAGGTCATCTGATTAAATGTAATTTTCTCACCAGAAAAACAATGGAAGCTTGTGGACTCTCCTCTAAAAAAGGTCCTACAATTGTTTTAGACTGTGAGAAGGAAAACAATTTGCTCTTTTAAGAGCCACTGTCTTAGAAGGGGAGGAAAAATGACTGAAGGTCTAGCCACAACAATGTACAGCTCTGTAAAGAGGGAGTAGAATGGAGGATAAACCATCATAAAGTCTGTCAAAAATAAGCTCGCCATGCACTCCTATATTTATTGCAGCCATATTTACAAGAGCCCAATTATGGAAACAGGCCAAGTGCCTACTGACAGATGAATGGATAAGGAAGATGTAGTACATATATACAATGGAATATTATTTAGCCATAAAAAATGAAATCTTGCCATTTGCAACAACATGTATTGAGCTAGAGAGAATAATGCTAAGTGAAATAAGTCAGTCAAAGGCAAATACCACATAATTTCACTCATATGTGGAATTTAAGAAACTGTAGCAAAGGAAAAAGAGAGAGAGAGAAACCAAGAAATGTACTCTTAACTCTAAAGAACACACTGATGGTTACCAGAGAGGAGGTGGGTGAAATAGGTGATGGGGATTAAGGAATGCACTTATGATGAGCACTGAGTCAGGTACAGAATTGTTCAATCACTATATTGTATACCTGAAACTAATATAACACTGTATGCTAACTACACTGGAATTAAAATTAAAAACTTAATAAAATGAAAAAAATAAGCTCATCTACTTTCAAAACTAGTAACAGGAATATAAACTACTTAAAATGACTAAATATTCTTTAACATACATGCTAAACTACTAACGACTAGTTCAGAGAAGACAGATGGGGAAAGACAGGAAACAGAATGGCATGAAGCTAACTACATACAAGATAGGCATCTAAGAGAGTTGACTTATTACCTAGTACATAAGAAAGATAAGTAAATGCTATTTTTTAAAGATTTTATTTATTTGAGAGAAAGAGAGAGGGAGAGGGAGAGAAAATCTGAAGCAGACTCCACACTGTGCACAGAGCCCGACACGAGGCTCTATCCCACAACTGCAAGATCATGACCTGAGCCGAAACCAAGAGTCGTTTGAGCCACCCAGGCGCCCCAATAAATGCTATTTTTAAATAACAATTAAGAAGAGCCAAGTGGTAAAACTAAAACACTGATTTGCAAGAGTAAAACAACAGATACATATGTGTATGTACACAGAAAGTTTATGGTGTTGGCAAATATTACTGAAGTATCAGATACACACTGAAAAGTACCAAACTACAGCTCCATAAGTTTTCTCAAAGTAAATATACTTATGTGACCAGCACTAAGATCAACTAACAGAATACTATCAGATCACAGCAGCATCCCCATCTTCCTTCCTCCTCTGGGAGACAGGCATTTAAAAAAAAAAAAAAAAAAGGAAAGAAAACAGGGATGCCTGGGTGGCTCAGTTGGTTAAGCGGCTGCTTTCAGCTCAGGTCATGATCCCAGGATTCTGGGATCGAGCCCAGAGTCGGGCTCCCTGCTCAGCGGGGAAGCTTGCTTCTCCCTCTCCCACTGCCCCCTGCTTGTGATCACTCTCTCTCTCTCTCTGTCAAATAAATAAATAAAATATTAAAACAACAACAACAACAAAACCAACCTCACAATGCTCCTCAAACAACAATTCAGAACTTTCCAGAAAGAGTGAAAATATTTGGGTCCTAGAGTAAAAGTTCTATTTAAACTGTTATTTGAATACCCAACAATTCTTCCCTCCAGAAAGAAAGAATACCCAAGGGCATTATGTTTCTTCTCAAAACCCATCTAAATTACTTTCATTTTCTACTCCCTAATCTGAAGCAACTTTTTTTTTAAGATTACATTTTTTTTAACTTAATTAGTAATCTATACATCAAACATGGGGCTCGAACTCATAACTCTAAGATCAAGAGTTGCATGCTCTTCTGAGCCAGCCAGGCACCCCGTGAAGCAACTATTAAAAATAAGACCTCTCCTATCACATTTATTCTTCCCAGTACCTCTTGCTGTTCTCCTGAACCTAGATTCAGCATTTGAAAACTCTTGACTATTCTCCAACATTACCTTGCTTTATGTTTTCATTCCACAGAATTCAATTTGGTTTATGATAATGCATGACACTAGAATTGTTCTCAGCATTAGAATTTTAGAAAAAGAAAGAAAAAAATTCCAAAACTGTGTAACTCTTGATATTATCACAGAGTATTTTCAATTCAATAAATATTAGAATGTGTCCATTATATGAACTAAAAATATAATATAAAAATATAAAGATGAGTTTAAGCACTGTCCCTAGCCTAGCCCTCAAAAGCCTTATATTCTAGTGCTCGCTTCGGCAGCACATATACTAAAAAAAGCCTTATATTCTATTTAAAAGAGAGCCTATTTTGATATCCCTGGCTAGTCTGACTCTGCCCCATAAATCCATTACAGATATCACTAATTGGGGGGTGCCTGGCTGGCTCAGTTGATAGACCATATAACTCTTGATCTCAGGGTCATGAGTTCAAGCCACACATTGAGCAAAGAGCTTGGTTGCTTACTTACTTACATACATACATATATAAACAAACAGATATTGCTAATCAGTTATTACTTTACTAGCCCAGAGGATATTGTAATGGATCATCATTAATGGCCATGGAGGGAGGAAGAGGTTATAAACAAGCATGCCAACTATTTGTATTTGTCATCCTCAGAACAGGGGATAAACAAACACACCAGTAAGCAAAATATAGAACAGAATATAAAGGCCATCCTAACTATATCCCCAAAAAGTGCTGACAATTCATATGGTTTCACAAAGAAACTCTAAGTTTGACAAGAAAACAGAAAAACTTTTCTCTGGCTATAAAAACAATACATACTCTTTTAGAAAATTTAGAAAATAAAAAATAGATAAAACATTTCAATCATAATCAACCATGCATAATAACTACTATTAACATTTTGGTCTACTTCCTACCTGACTTGTACCTAGTCATATCATATTTTAATACAAAATTTGAACTACACCACTTGTAGTTATATACATGGTTTCTTTCAGCTTAACAGTATAATGCAAACACTGATTTTTAAATGATTGCAGAGCATTCCAGGATACTTTCGTATTGGGGGGCCATTTAGGCTGTTTAAAACTTTTTGCTATAAATAAATAAAACTGCAATGGATACTTTTTTTAATGCACATAAATCTTTGACAGATTCTGCATTTTTCTCTTAGTTGGATTCCCCAGGGTAGAGTTTGAGTTAAAAGGTCAAACATTTTAAGGGTCTTGATACATAATGACAAATGACTGAAAGAAGGGCTCTATCAATTTACATTATATAACATGGATCAAGATTTCAGTAGGCAGAGATGGGAAGGAACTGGCTTCCTGACAAAAAGAAAATTTTAAAGGACTATAAATAACTTAATTTGACAGGAGAGGGCAGTTAACACTGGAAATACACTTGAACCCAAAAGATGGAAAACCCTAAATGCTAAGATAAGGAAACTGTATCAGCAATATCAGCAGGTACAGGAAATAAGGTTATAAACTGAAGTGACATGATCAAAACAATCAGAACTATAACCTAGACAAAGATTGATTTGGTAAGAGCAAGTACATATTATAACTTTCATACTGAGAGACAGAAACTTGTCTCATTTATGATTACAACTTCCCAAGACAAAGCTTATAAAGTGGTTAACAATAGGTGTACAATAAAGATTTGGGATAGAATAAATAAATATAAGCGACAGTGTGAACCACTCAGAGAGAAAGTAACACTGACATAGTACAGATGTACAACAGGAGAGATAAAGACAGATTTCAGATATAGATGTCAAGGGACACGGGCTCAGGAATTTACAGTTCTGGCTGCCCTTAGTTTGTAAGTAATTTAATAGTAAGCACTACTGTGTATGTATGGTAGTGTGAGCAACATGCACAAAGGAATGGGGTGTGATTGAGCATTGAGCATGGCAGAGTCATTAAAAGTAGTCTGGTAAGAGAGGAAAAGACAGCAGGGTAGGCAAAGAATGTAAACCAATTTATCCATTAAACAAAAAGCCATAAGTAATATAAAATTAATATACTAAAAAAAAAAATTTCTGGCAGCTGGGCAGGGAATAGATTAGACAGGAAATGAAAAGAGAAAAGATTAGATTCCCTACTCCAAGTGTGGTCTGCAGACCAGGGGCAGCTACAGCATCACCTGGGAATGCCTCAGAAATGTAAAAACTAGGGCACCTGGGTGGCTCAGCTGGCTAAGCATCCGACTCTTGATCTCAGCTCAGGTCTTGATATCAGGGTCGTGAGTTCAAGCCCCGAGCTGGAGCCTACTTAAAAATAAAAAAATGCAGAAACTTGACCCCGCACCTGAAAATGGAATCTGTATTTTAAGATCCTTGGTAATCTGTATGCATATTAAAGTTTGGGAGGCTCTACATCACTTGGCATCAGGGAAATACAAATCAAAACCACAATGAGAGGGCGCCTGGGTGGCTCAGTTGGTTAAGCCTCTGCCTTCGGCTCAGGTCATGGTCCCAGGGTCCTGGGATCGAGCCCCACATCGGGCTCCTTGCTTAGCAGGGAGCCTGCCGCTCCCACTGCTTGTGCTCTATGTTAAATACATAAATAAAATCTTAAAAAAAAAAAAACAAAACACAATGACATACCACCTCACACCAGTCAGAATGGCTAAAATTAACAAGTCAGGAAACGACAGATGTTGACAAGGGTTCAGAGAAAGGGGAACCCTCCTACACTGTCGGTGGGAATGAACACTGGTGCAGCCATTCTGGAAAACAGTATGGAGGTTCCTCAAAAAGTTGAAAATAGAGCTACCCTACAACCCAGCAATTGCACTACTGGGTATTTACCCCAAAGATACAAATGTAGTGATCCGAAGGGGCACCTGTACCCCAGTGTTTATAGCAGCAATGTCTACAATAGCCAAACTATGGAAAGAGCCCAGATGTCCATTGACAGATGAATGAATAAAGAAGATGTGAAATGAAATCTATCCATTTGCAATGACATGGATGGAACTAGAGGGTATTATGCTAAGCAAAATAAGTCAATCAGAGAAAGACAATTATCATATGATCCCGCTAATATGTGGAATTTAAGAAATAAAACAGAGGATCATAGGGGAAGAGAGGAAAAAATAAAACAAGACAAAATCAGAGAGGAAGACAAACCATAAGAGACTCTTAATCAGAGGAAACAAACAGGGTTGCTGGAGTGGAGGGGGGTAGAGGGATGGGGTAACTGGGTGATGGACATTAAGGAGGGCACGAGATGTAATGAGCACTGGGTATTATATAAGACTGATGAATCACAGACCTGTACCCCTGAAACCAATAATATATTATATGTTAATTTTTAAAAATAAATAAATAAAATATAAATAGAAGAAAAAAATTGGGGAGGCCCTAGACTAAAGGACAGAGGAGTAGCTGAAGGGTACTACAACTCCCCTAGTAAGGGCTGGAATCAAGGGAACTGAGAGAGAAAAAAGAACATTTACTTGCCCTTAAAAAAACAAACTAACCATAAGCAATAGTTCTCTGCTAATCGCTACAATTTCAATTACTCTTTTAAGAACAGATCACATAGTGTGGGGTGCCTGGGTGGCTCAGTCGGTAAGCGTCTGCCTTTGGCTCAGGTCATGATCCTTGGGTCCTGGGATCAAGCCCCATGTCAGGATCCCTGCTCAGCGGGGAGTATGCTTCTCCCTCTCCTTTGCTCATGCTCACACTCCCTCTCAAATAAATAAACAGATCACATAATGTACATTTGCTGCAAAGAGAAACCGCTTTCAAAATTTTGAACCTCTAATAAGAAAAAAAAATGTATTGAGCTCAAGAACAAAACAAACAAAAGTTCACAAAAGCAGTTCAAGAGGCAGAGAGATTACACACATTTTAAATAGTTTATCCAAGAACATTAATAATCTATCAATTTCTGAGAAGAAAGACTTGCAACTTTAGTGAGATGGCACTTCCATTTTACAAACTGGGAGAAAATTAGAGAAGTGCATTTGAGGATTTTAAGCTCCAACTATATAATATTTTTCTAAACTCATGAAAATTTCCATTTTTACAAGTGATATGATACAAGTAAAATTAATGTACATAGTTGTCAAATGGTATTTTCCCAAATTTGTTATTTAATAAGCCCTACCAAAATCACAAAGAGACTATCTTTCAGTATTTTGTATTTCTGTGTGCATCAATCTTTAGGTCACTTGAAAATCAATATGATGGACTGAGTACTAAATGACACCAAAGAATTGTTAATTTTGTCAGGTATCATAACCACGTTAGGGTTATATATGAAAATGTCTAATTTTTTAGGGATGTATACTGAAATATGTAAGGGTGAATAAATTTGCTTCTAATACCTTACAAAAAGAAAGAAACACACAGAAAGGAGATGTGGCAACATCTTGATAACTGCTGAATCTGAATCAGAAGTTGGCAAACCGGAGCCCAACAGCCCATTTTTATACGGCCTAGGCTAAGTGGTTTTCCATGCTTAAAGGATTGTAAAAACAACAAAGAAAAATATGCAACAGAGACCAAATGTTACCACCAAAACTTAGAATGTTTACTAGCAGGCTCTTTATAGAAAAAGTTTACTGACTCCTAATTATAGATAATGGGCACGTAAGAATTTATTGCACTATTTTCTCAACTTTTGTGTACGTTGAGGTATGGAAAATTTTGAGTATCACACTAAAAAATTTTTAAATATCAATCCACAATAGAGAAAGACAAATCTAACAAACCCTGATAATGCTTTAACAGCAACCAAGCAAAAAAACCACTCCACAGTTTGCTAACATTCAAAATGTACTTTAAACAATGAAAAGTGAGGGGAGCCTGGGTGGCTCAGATGGTTGAGCATCCCACTCTTTATGTCGGCTCAGATCACAGTCTCAGGGTCATGAGACTGAGACCCGTGTAGGGCTCCACACTGTGGGTGGAACCTGTTTAAGATTCTCTCCCTCTCCCTCTGCCCCTCCCCCTGCTGGTGGGCACTGTTCTAGGACTAGCAGACGGAGAAGTGAATGAAAAGTTCCTTGCCTTCATAGAATCCTGCATTGTTATGCTTACTTTTCTTATTTGACTTGCAAATATTCTATCTTCCTCCCTTTCAGTAGTGTCAAGTACATTCCTGTGTTCCAATACATAAAAACTAAACAGTCAACTATACTTCAATTAAAGAAAAAAAAAACTAAACATCCATATGTACTTGTATTCAATGTAAACAAAATTTACAAATCACTCAACATAAAATTTAATAACTTTTAAAAAATCTTATAATTAGGCAATACTTACTGGAGATCCAAAGTTATGTCCAACTTCATGAGCAAAAGTAATGTGAGAGACTTTGGGGGGTACATGAGACCCATAGTTCTGAACAGTAATAATTCCAGTGTTTAAGGACTTCTTCTTACCATCTGAATACAGCTTACTTTTTTCACATATTCCTCCAGAGCTTCCTAATTCAGAACAAAAGATGGCTAAATTAGCATCTATTTACCCCCAAAGTAACTTTCTAATATATGCTATATTAAATTAAAACATTTTATATATCCCACACATATCAAATACTCAAAAGTTTCTTTTGTCCAAGATTAGGAAGTCATTTCAAATAAGTTTTAATGGTACACATAAAGAAACTCCCAGGACTTCGTACAAGGCCCTTAAGAAAATGTTTTTCATAATCAAAATATTCCCTAATTTTTGTTCCCATTAATTGAGCAAAACAAAAGTTTCTGTTAAATTTGAATATATCCATATTTACACAAAGCCTATACCTTCTCATTTAAAAAAAAAAGAAAGAAAGAAAGAAAGAAAACATTTAATTTAAATGAAAGTTGAACAAAATGTTCTCAAGTAGATTCTGAGAAAGTCACTTCCATAAATAATAGTAGTGATGCACAGGAGTACATGATTCACTATCTTGAGAGGCAATATACATATATTTTTTTAAAAAGAAAATCAGTAGTAGTTGCAAGGGGCTGGCAAGGAAGTAGGGGGATAGAGAGAGATTTGTAAAAGGGTACAAATTTCCAGTTATAAAATGAGTAAGGTCTAAGTATCTAATGTATAACATGATGACTATAGTTGATAACACTGTATTGTATAAGATGAAATTTGCAAAGAGATTAAAACTGAAACATTCTCACCAAAAATAAATAATATGTGAGGTGATAGATGTGTTAACTCATTGGGGGGAATCCTTTCAAAATATACATGAATATCATATCATTATGTTGTACACTTGAGGTATCTTACAATTTTGTCAGTTATACTTCAATAAAGTGGGGCGGGGGGAGAAGAAAAGAAATACGTCCAGTGGGCAAGAAAAGGGGAGTGGGAGGGAAGGAAGGATAGAAGATGTATGGAAGGGGAAGAAAGCAAATGTGGAAAAATGTTAACCGATTCATCTATCAGGAGTTCACTATACTATTGCTGCAACTTTTCAGCAGGTTTGAAATTTTTTTCAAAATAAGTTCAAAAAGCTGAATTATGATTTTCCAATGTGTCTTGAGAATACTTTCAAATTGTAAAAGAAAACCTATAACACTACTTCTATTATACATATTAAATCACTTTGTAGTTCACCTGTTCCATAATAGTAACTTTCCAAAATAGCCTAATGCCAAAATGAAAGTACTTGTATATCTAAAGGCAGTTAATATAAGAAATTAAAAAAAGAACAATGGGAAAATCAGAAACTGGCTGGCCAACCCATGTCTGTATGTACACTGTACTGAGAAGAACACAGTTCTTTTAATAACTCTGAATACATCTTAGCGAAAATTCTTTAGTTTACATTTACATGTAAAGGGTTTCTCTCTTTGATTTTTTTTATTAAAATACAATCAAATGTTAGGATGTTCTGATAACTGATCAAATTATTTCAAATTAGCTTTCTATATGCAAAATTACAACCAAGTTATTAAGCCATTAAAACATCTAATGTTTATAATCCCTGATAAAGCATATAATAGAAGGCAATGAAAAATAGATTTGCAAGAATGGCATGACACTACAACTGCTACCCATTCATTTTAAACATTAGAAAGTAAATTTAACAGGGACACCTGCGTGGCTCAGTCAGTTAAATGTCTGCCTTTGGCTCAGGTCATGATCCCAGAATCCTAAGACCAAGCCCCACATCAGGCTCCACACTCAGTGGGCAGTCTGCTTCTCCCTCTGACTCTACCCCCCTCTTGTGCTCTCCCTCACTCTCTCTCTCATAGTTTTTTTTTTTTTTTTCAAAAAAAGGTAAATTTAACACGAATTACCATTATGATTTAGGAAGCTAAAATAATAAGCGCCACAGAAAACTGAAAGACTGAGCTATATGCAGATTTTAACCAGCACAAGATGGAGAACCTTTATGATATTCAGAACTTACTACCTTTTCTACAAAGAAAACTGACAGCAAATGATTTATGAATATTTAATATATTTTCTTAGGCTACTTCCTCTTTTGGAGATGAGTCTAAGGATTGTATCACTACTTCTGGAAATTAGAAAAGATACGAATAAGCACTCTGTAATAGTTTTAAACAAATAGTAAATTAATATCCTGCCTTAATGAAGATCTATCATATGCAAATTGGTCCAATGCAGTACTGTCAAACTTGAATTAAGCATAAAAGACTCCACACTGTAAATCTCTATCAGTTAAAAAAAGAAAAAAATAAATAGCATGTATTAAAAACTCTGATAATATATTTTTCTGTATTTTTAAGGTCTATACGGTTTAAGGGAAGATCAGACATAAATTTGAATGTACTCTTCTGAAAACAGTCTTTGTAATTTTACATCATGTTTAACATCTTAGTAAATGCTTTTGGTTTTAATGTGTATCACTTACAGAAAAGTTTAGTATTTGTTACAAACTAATAACATATGTTAAAATAACTCAATTATACAGAAAAAATAAGACTATATTTAATTTTATAAGTTATGGTTTAATTTTTTTTTGGCAGTAGTGCACTAATTTTTTTTAATTCCAATATAGTTAACATAAAGTGTTACATTAATTTCAGGTGTACAATATAGTGATTCAACAATTCCATACCTTACCCAATGCTAAGTTATGGTTTAATTTTTTACAAAATAATGCAACTAGTTCTGATGTGCCAGAAACTCAATCAGTGATATCATATATACCTATAGCTAAACCATAGCTCAAGTTCAGTAACTGCTTTATATTATACATTTAAAATTTTACTACATGTAGTCATCATTACAAAATACAAATTGTGAATAATAATGAGAAGGGCAAAATTTTATTATTTTGAGTTAAAAGCTATTACTGATGGATAGATGGCTCAGTAAACAACAAAGAAGGATAATGACATTTTTTTTTTATCTACAGTACAGCCTGAGAGCTAAAGTCACAGAATATTACTCCTAAACTTTAAAACAGACCCCTAACCCCAGGCCCCAAATTAGAAAAACTACAGGGTAATGTAACATAATACCCTGACAGAGTCCACAAGTACAGTTTTGATGTGAGCAGGCCTAAACACTTAAAACTTAACAGTAGCATACTGATCATGCAATATTAATCTGAGCAGTAATTTTGAATCAGACAATAGTTCCACTCCCCGACAGGTTATCAGGAAATGTCCTAGGGCATTTCTTTGTCTTTCATGTCTGGAGAACAGTATTCACAAGTAATAGGGAGGGACAAGAGATGTTAAACATCCTGCATGGAACAATCCAGACTGCACAAAATGCCAGTATTAACTGTCCTGTTGTAATATTCTAATGATGTAAATCTCCCAGCCTTATAATTAGACTTTTAAACATGTTAAGAATTTGATAGGCTGTGGGTTATCTTGAGAACCCTAAGTTGAGCTCTGTATGCCCTTAAATCCTAATATGTAAAATCAAACTAAAATTTCTAAACTAAGAAAAACAGAAGAGACTATTGCTAACAATTGAAATGTCTCAAAAAATGTTTTTCACAAATGGTCAGAGGAATACAAATGGTTCAGGATTAACTACGGAGATGAATTCCAGAGCTAGCCTTACTCAGTGGCCTGCCCAAACTGAGACTATGTTCATTAGGATAACATTAAGAAGGATAATATATGAACAGAATGCACATTAATATATTAAAAAAAAATGGCCCCTCTCAAAAGGAAGGGTGCCACAAATGAAGTAAAATAAAAAGATTATCTAATATAAGGAATTTACTTAGTTAAGGAATCAATGCTCCAGTCTCTAAATTAAATGATAAGAGGCTACCTGCTTAACACAGAACTGTGCTCATACAAAGAAAAGTTTAAAGAAATCTTGCCAGATTCATAATCAACACTGACTTTGTTTGGAAGACCAGATTCCCTTTTTTTTGACTCCCTTCTAATCCCTGTGTAATTTCAAATGGGAGTGTCCAAGCCAGCCCAGTTCACTAGTGGTTTCCACTAATTATGGAGTTGGGCAGGAGGTGCTGTTTTCCTGATTAAAGAAACCCAAGGCAGTACCCAACTACAGTATGATATTAAATAAGAATAAAAAGTAGTGTAAGAAGACTTAAAAACAAGAAACCTACTATTCAAATGTTTCAACTTTTACTGCTTTTCCCAGCTTAACTGAGTCAGTGAAGACTATAGCTAATAATTTGAGTAATATTCTGTGAAAATTAACATCACAACAAAACCCTCCACACCACCATCTATTTGTAGTAAAATATCTGTAGAATTAAGTGAAACTAAGCTAAATAATACAACAAAATCAAAATTAATTAGGCCAAATAAAAATGAAAAAACTAAGAAACAGTAACAGATCACAAGCTGAACAGATCAGCTATGAAATGGTACTTTTTAATAAACAGATAACCACAAAAATTACTAAGATCTGTAGACAGGAACGTGCAGTCTCAAAAAGGACAAAGAGAAGAAATTACAATGAAAAATAAACACACTGAAGCAAAATGACTTACCTAAATTTAGCGAGAACAGACAAGAACCCAGTCTCCTAGCTCCCAAACCAGTGCTCTTCCCATTATGCCATGACAATTACCCAAAATGATGTCTAAATATTAAAGAGTAGAACTCTTTTATAACTTCTCTTTCAAAAAAATGGATTCCAACAATACAAAACCTCTATTAAAATGCAGGAAACATTTCAACTTCTTATCAGAAACATCTTAGAGAAAGCTAGAATATTATAGTATATAATACTTAGTAGAATAACTACCAAATGCACTGAACCTAGAGTCAAAAGGTCTAGACTCTGGGTTCTGTGTGATTCTGGGTCAGTCACAAAGTCTCTAAATCCAAGTTTCCTCATCTGCGGAATGGAGGTAATAATACCTACACCTCAGAAGGGTACTGAAATAATCAATAAAACCAATTATAGATTTTTCCCTATAAAAAAATACAATGTTGGGTGCCTGGGTGGCTCAGTTGGTTAAGCGTTTACCTTAGGCTCAGGTCATGATCTCAGGGTCCTGGGATCGAGCCCCACGCTCAGCTCGAGCTCCCTATCTCTTTGCCCTTTACCCCGCTTGTGCACTCTCTCTCAAATAAATAAAAATCTTTTTAAAAAACACAATGTGAGTCAAATATAAAACTCAGTTCAGGTAGTCAAAGGGTAAAGGGAAGAGGAGAAAACCATCAATGTCATGTTAAGGCAGGTACACTATACTAGAAAAAGCTGGCTCAAAAGAACAAAGATCAGGGCGCCTGGGTGGCTCAGTTGGTTAACCATCTACCTTCGGCTCAGGTCATGATCCCAGGGTCCTGGGATGGAGCCCCACATCGGGTTCCCTGCTCAGTGAGGAGTCTGCTTCTACCCTGCTCCCCACCTCCCTGCTTGTGCTCTCTGCTCTTTCTTGGGCTTTCTCTCTCAAATAAAATATTGGGAGAAAAAAAAAAAAGAACAAAGATCCCCTTCTCTTTTCCACTCTGGTCCCCATTCTTCTGTCTCTCCCTAGCCCCTTCCCAACAGCTCTTAGAAAAAGGCTTCTAAGAACTGGAGTTGGGGGTTTAACATAGAATAAAGGAAGAGGGTATCAGATGAAGGACCTATGACAAAAATACAAGTTATATGTCCCATTTTCAGTCAAGAACTTTGCCCACTGCTGTTCAGTAAAATGAGCAGCACCACAAATGGTGGTCCAAATATCAAAATAACTAGATATAAAGGCTAATTGTCCTCCAAACCCATTACCCTAATTTAATCATGAGAAAAACATCAAAGAGACTGCAACAGAGGGGCATCCCACAAGATACCTGACCAGTACTCCTCAAAATTGTCAAGAATCATCAAAAGCAAAATAAGCCCAAGAAACTATAATAGTCAAGAAAAGATTAAAGAGACATGGTAACTAAGTGTAATGTGGTATCTTGGATGAGATCCTAGAACAAAAAAGAGACCTTAGGTATAAACTAAAAAATCTGAATCAACTACGAATATCAGTCAACAATAAGGAAACCATAGGTTTGTTAATTGTAACAAATGTACCATACTAATACAAACTGTTAATGATATGTATGGGTGGGGTGTACATGAATTCTCCATACTATTTGCTCAATTTTTCTGTGAATCTAAAACTATCCTAAAAATACAGTCTATTTTTGGGCGCCTGGGTGGCTCAGATGGTTAAGCGTCTGCCTTCGGCTCAGGTCATGATCCCAGGGTGCTAGGATTGAGTCCCGCATCGGGCTCCCTGCTCCTTGGGAGCCTGCTTCTCCCTCTCCTTCTCTCTCTCTCTCCCCCCCCCCGTCTCTCATGAATAAATAAATAAAATCTTAAAAAAAAATACAGTCTATTTTTGCATCTATAGATATGAGGCTATCTGAAGATTTTAAAAAACTGACCAAGCTCCTTCAGGAGCATTACATTCCTAATGAACAAAAGTCTGAAGCTGAAAATGTAAAACAGTTTCTGGTTTGAAATCATCCAATCACTTGCCCAGAAGCCATTCTATGAGTAAGTTTCCTTAGAGACAAAAATATGAATATGGTAGTTCTCAAACTTGAATGTGAATCAGAATCACCTGGAAGCCTTGTTCAAACAAAGACTGCTCCACTTTACACCTAGAGTTTCTGATTCAGTAGACTTGGGTGGGGTCCAAAAATTTGCATTTCTAACAAGTTCCCAGGTGATGCTGATGCTGATGCTGTTACAGTTAAGGAAGACACTTTGAAAATATAGTAATTTAGTATACTAATGGTAATTTACAACAAACAATCAAATGAATCCTTGAATTTTCACAGTACTTACTAATGAATAAGTAGAAGAAACCATAAACTTTATAATAAATCATCCAACTTATTCAAGAAGGGGAAAAGAAATTTCAGAATATACAAGTTATAAAACGTAAAATTATCATAGGAAAGAGTGAGATTATACAATCTGCTGACAATGCAAGTAACACAAAACCAGGACAGATCAACCTAAGAGACAAATATAAATCTCCAAAAATACTGTACTATGATATATAGTTCATGACATAAATCTGCACTTTAATGACATCATGAAAATGTGGAAGAAAAACAAAAGAAGCTTTGAAAATTGTGAAAGTAATATTCATTGCTGGCTTTAAAAATAAAGCAAGAAATATAAAAGCTAAAATATACTACTACTTAAAATGTTAAAATATACATCACAGATCAAACAATAAACTAATTAAAGAACAGGAATAGAAAAGCTTCCCTTACCCTGCATAAAGCATTCTATCTTTTAAAAAGATAGAAATGATACATCAGAAGAGATATTACCATATATAGCTCAAAAGATAACAGACTACTGATCAAACTCTTTATGGCAAAATTTATATTCCTAGGATTGTTTCTACCCAATCTTTCAATTAATAAATTTGTGTTTCTCTAAACTAGGTTCCTGAACTTATTAGACTGTAAATTACAGTCCCCCTACCCCCACTGTAATGGAAAGGGGATTATCCTATCCCAGCTTTGTTAGTGACAGCAGTTTCCATGGTTAAGGAGAGACCCCAGCAGAGTTTGGGCCCAGGTGGTGAGGGTAGCGGAGCTGAGGGTACTGGGGCTGAGGGTACTGAGGCCTCCTGCTTACATCTCTTTTCAGGCAACACTTACCTTTTGTTAAAATAAAGGCTATAAATAAAATAATAATAAGGGCAGTCTTTCTTTTCTACCTACTGCTTCTGACTGGGGTTTCTCTGCTATCTCATTGCAGAACAGAAGCAAGAACATAGTTTTCCCCTTTTAATTCTAAGGACCTCTTTCCCAGAAAAATACTTTTTTTTAATTAATAATATTAACTTCTATGAAAAAATTAGTATTTCATTTTTGTTTTCAGAAATAAGCACCACTTTTTCCTCATGAAATTATTTCAGCCACTGAATATACCAAATGTCAGGCTATCTCCCTGTTAGTACTCATTTCAAAATAAAAACCTAGTCCATCTATTTTTCTACTTACATTATGCTTATGACTCTTGCCTAACTCAAGCTCTTTAAATTAAGATATTGTACAGGCATCAGTTTCTACTACACTTTTATAAAATGTAATGTGCCCTGAAAATTGCTTGTTTGAAGTATTAAGCCAAGACATAGCTGGATAAACTACCTGAAGGTGCTCCAACCCAAGCCAGACCAAGAACACCATCATCAAAATCTCGGTCTGTGAAGACATAGGCCAAACAGTAGTCATCATGATTCTGCTCAGAATTCAATTCCAGAAACTTCTCCACACCAATATTTGGGAAACGGAAGGGATTTGTAGAGTCCTTTTCATCAGCAGTTGTGTTGATCTAAAATCCAAGACAACTATTTAAATAGGCAATTAATGTTAGCAGAGCCTATGTGTAAAGTCTTTGCTCACCTTCTTCTGCATCCGCCTGGACAATACGCTTGGAACCCAAGGGAAATCAGGCCTGAATTAAAGCTTCTACAATTGTTCCCACTGCCCCCATCCCTGAGCTGATCATAGAAGCCAAAAAGAAAAAAAAAAAAAGAAAAAAGGAAAAAAGAAAGGCTGAGTAGGAGAATTAAAATTGAGTATGTTAAAAATTTCTGGGCAAGTATCAACCAAATTTCTAAACAATGAACACTTGGGATGGAAAAACAAGTTCTGCTTTCAAAATTTCCAATAAAGGAAGTACAGTTTCTCAAATTTAATCATGTGAGCAAGTCTCTTTCAGTACTAATCTCCTGCACATGGTGGAAAGTATAAGGATATAAACCCCTTAATTTTAGCTAATTACTAGAACATAAAATTGTTATCAAACCCAAGACCATCAATTCAACAGCCAAATCATTTCCTCGGTTCTGCTTGCCCAAAATCATACGAGTCAAGCCCAACAAAATGCAAGTTCAATTTTTTTCCCCAAATGTGGGCAAGAATTTTTTTTTACTCCCCATTCTCTTCTCTTACTGTATCAAGCTCAGTTCCTCCAGAATGCTTCTTTTGATACTTAGCTACTGTACTCCTAGTGCAGGTTCCTCCTTCACCATCTGAAGAATAATCAGTTCTACTGAACTACTTCTACTTGTTCTACTAAACAAAAACTTCATTTATTAGCCTCTGCCTCCTTTCAGAGACCCCTGCCTGTCCTCTGAAGTTCTAGAACAATTTGGCTTTCCCCAAGTCAGAAAATTACATATACAACTGTTGATACAGAATAAAAAGGGATATGCATATGCATGAAAGTAATAAACATTTTTTAGAAGGCAGTCCTCAGTCTATTGAAAATGTTAGTAGTAAAGGGAGGATATAACGTTGATAAAATGAGAACTGCAGGTCTTTCTAGGTTCCACACTCTTCAGTAAAACCAAGAGGCTCAGAAGCAGGATCACAAAAACACTACTGCGGGCAACTGCTTAAGGACAGATTTATGGTTTCTCTATTAACAACTAAAAACAATCAGTAATGGTCATCTAACAAAAAAAATCCAAAAGCAATCACGCTATATATTATAAATAGCCCATGCTTAGAGACATGCTATAGATGGCTTTTTCCCAGTAAATAGTGAAATGAAATTCCCTCAGATTTTTATAATATTGGCTCCAAAAAATATTGCATCTAAGTTGTAGTTAACTATATTAAAAATGAGATAATATTTAAATGTTTACTGATATAAATTTCAAATTAATGGGTCAGAAGGAATCTTCAGATGAGATTTAGTTAAAAGCTTGAAAACAACCAAATGCCACACTATCCATTCATATACATGCATTTCTTCATAATGCAAATCATTGTACTAAAAAAAAAAAAAGTGCTTCACTATAATTTGTTCTGGTATTCCTTACTTTTCACTAGTTTGCATTTTATTGCTTTGCCTACTAAACAATAATTATTATCACTTTTACTTGCTCATTTAAGGACTTAAGTTACTCTCAAAATACAGGAAAGCAACTGATTATGAACAATTCTTATACTGTTTATCTACAAACCACATTTCACCTTAAAGTCCAATTTAACATTTAATCATATTACTAAGGACCACTTTTAACTACGCTATTAAATATATAACATGCATGAACAAAAACTATAAATTAGTCAATCATATTTTAAGAAAATTAGAAGCACAAATATAAAGAAATCTTATGGCAAATACTTTTGTAAAATGATTTTTTTTTAAACTCAAGCTATTTATCTAGCTTATCAATTCAGATTCTTAAAAGCCTATACACATAGCAAGAATTCATATTTGGAAAATTTATGAAACAACCCAATTCTGTTAGTAATTTAATATCTACTTATTTAAATTTATAACACTAACATTAATCATCAGTGAACCTGTGGCTCTAGGTGAGCATTTCTCAAAATGTGTTTTACAGTTCTTTGGACTCTCAGTTGACATTAATACAGAAAAGGTTCCATGGTCAAATGAGTTTTGAAAATTATGAGTTTCTCTCCTGAAGGACTTATCAAAATTTGAGATATGTTAGTGTGTACTATGAATTTACAAGAAGAGAGCATAGTAGTAAGTGTTTTTCCAACTTCCAATTTTATTTAACCATTCTATCTATCCTTCCCTCCTCTAGAGCACCAAATGGGACACACTCTGAAAAATACTGCACAAGGCAAATCTTTAAAAACTGGGAAATGATAGGGCGCCAGGGTGGCTTAGTTGGTTAAGTGACTGCCTTCAATTCAGGTCATAATCCCAGAGTCCTGGAATCGTGTCCCGCATCGGGCTCCCTGCTTAGTGGGGAGTCTGCTTCTCCCTCTGACCCTCCCCCATCTTGTGCTCTCTCTCTCTCAAATAAATAAAATCTTAAAAAAAAAAAAAAAAAACCTGGGAAATGATAAGGGGGGTGCAGAATGTCAAGTACTCTATCTGTAGTTTTTGAGAGACTAGGGCTTTCTAACTGGCATATTAATCAGAATACAGGATGACAGTACCTCTTTTGCAGTCCAGATTAAAGTCCTATAGATTTCATTTTTACATGATAAACCTAGTATCCCTGTGTGTGTCTCTGTGTGCGTCTGCGCATGTTGTGTAAAAGCCAAGAATAAAGATAAACTGGATCAGCAAAACAATCTAAACTATTAAGGCATAAAAATGAAGTAAAAAGCATTTTTCTTTTTATAAACAAGGTCCTTGTTTCTCTTTCGTAATGTTCTTAACTATTGAAATTCCTTACTCTTATTCGTTTCACCATGAAACTGATGTTACGGATTCCGGAGAAGTCTGTAGTCTGGTAAATCGTATCAATTGCTTTAACGTGACTAGATATCTATAGATTTAAAAAAAAGAATAACATTTTAGAGGCAATATTAAAATGTGAATAAAGCTGTGAATTTCCATTTTCCGAATCAAGAATGTTCCACCACACTCAAATTTTAAAATGTCTACATTATATAGTGGATGAAAAGATGAAACAGATTAGTGAGGTGGGGCTAAGAGGGAAGATTCTGTGGCTTTTCCAGACCCTTCTCCAGCCAGAAACAAACATCACTCTTGCTTCAATCATATAAAACTTTGTTTCCTCAATCAATCCTGCAAGGTCAGACCTCCGTGCCTTTTCACATGCTATTTCCTTATGAGTATCTTTATCCATCAGATTCAGTTCAAACATCTCCTGTAAGAACTTCCCTGATAGGGGTGCCTGGGTGGCTCAGTGGGTTAAGCGTCTGACTCTTGATTTCAGCTCAGGTCATAATCTCGGGGTCATGGGATCGGGCCCCCACATCAGGCTCTGCGCTGGGCATGGAGCCTGCTTGGGATTCGCTCTCTCCCTCTGCCCACTCCCGTGCCCCACTCCCACTCTCTCGTGCTCTCTCCCTCCAAAAAAAAAAAACTTCCCTGATAATGTCAGGACACTCAGTCATCCTCTGACTTCAGGCTTTCTATTGCTGCACTAGTACACATAATCTTTAAAAGTTTTGTTGACCACTTATTATATGCTAGGCACTGTTTTAGGTGCTGGGGACACAATGGTGAAAAACAGAAAAGGTCCCTATAAATTTACAAAGATACTCTAGAGGGTGATGGGAGAGAGGAAGTAACGCAAATATAAATAAGATACATTAAGATTTGCTAAATTCTAGGGCACCTGGGTGGCTCAGTTGGTTAAGCATCTGCCTTCAGCTCAGGTCATGCTCCCAGGGTCCTGGGACTGAGTCCCACATCAGGCTCCCCTTCTCTGCGGGGAGCCTGTTTCTCCCTCTCCCTCTGCCTGCCACTCCCCCTGTTTGTGCTCTCTCTCTCTCCCTGTCAAATAAATAAATAAATAAAATCTTTAAAAAAAAAGATTTGCTAAATTCTAGGAGAAAATTAAACATGGTGACAGAACATAAAGGGATTCTCTATTTACCTAGCTGACTCCCAACTAAATTCTCTGGCTTCTAAACCACTTTCCCATCTTCATTTATAAAAAGCATTCTTGCTATAGTTTATGTAAAAACATGTATATATTCTTTTAAAATTATTTTCAAAGAAATTATATAAACTTAAGATAGTCAAATAGAAGTATTAACAATAATTTCAAAAGTAGCCCAGGCTGCCAAACTGATAAAGTTCTAACGGTGCTGACAAGGTCCATTATAAATTCATGCTATTGAACCTCAGCTTGGCTTGGTAATCCCTTATCCAATTCTGTTTCTACTCCATTCCCAACGGTGGTAGTTCAAACATTCCTCCACAGATGATTATACTTCATACTTTACTGAGACTTCATCTTTACTTCCCTCCCTCTTTACCTTCAAATTTTTCTATATTCATCCATTTCTATCTTCCTCAAAGGGTAATTCTTCCTTAAAAGGAAGCTTTTCTTTATTCTCATCCCAATCCTTACTAGAACGTCAAGAACACTGTTCCCTATCAATTTTTCTCTTATATCTTACATTGCTTTTCTATTGGATTATTTTCCTCTTCCTACCAACTTACTCATCTATTCTCTGTCCTCCTTCCACCCCCATATTACTTCTAAGTCACCATATTTGTTTCTATTTTTCACATTTCTTAAAACCCTCACTGCTTTGGCCAACCCATTTATTACTGTTTGCAACGTTTTCACCCTCACAACTCTATCAGCTTAAAACTCATCAAAAATCTTCTAGTAAATAAAAACCAGCTACCTTTTGTAGTCATTTTTTTTCAGTATTATTGAGGTATAATTGACAAATAAAACTGTAAGGTGTTTAAAGTGTACATCTTGATTTGATCTGATATAATCTTGATTTGATTTGATATACACGTGAAAGGACTCCCCCCCGCCCCCGCCCCCCGGCATCTAGCAAATTAACACACTGTAGTCATTCTCTTTGATCTTTCTGCAATATGACACCGTTAGCCATGCATCTGGTTTTGAAACTTGTTTCTTCCTTGGCTAATTCCATTTAATCTCCTACCTGTTTTACTATTATGTTTTACCCCATAGCTTCTCTTCCTCATCCTATTCACTATATATAGATATTATCCCCCCAGTTTCTTCCCTTTTAATTTCATTCTCTCCCATTACTTCAACTCCATCTTTTGTATCCTTAAATTCTATGCAGAAAGCTTAAGGTTGGGCTAACTTCTCCCAAGCTCCAGATCTACATTTTCAATATCCTAAGGAATGACCACTTGGCTCTTAAACACATCTAAAATTAAGCTCATCGCCACCATCAAAATGAGTTCACCATTTATACTAGTGGGACCTACATTCTCTTAGTCTCAAATCAAATTTGGAGTCAAAATGCATTATCAAATTCTCACTGGGAATCTTCAACAGAAAGGACATTTTGAAGAGTCTCTCCAAAAACTTTTTACTTTAATAAAGGTGAGAAGACAAAAAACGCAAATAGCACAACTCTGAAAGTGCTGAGTACAAAACAAAAATAAAAACAAAAAACAAGCACTAAGTACAATGGGAATACAGAATAGAAATTAGATAGTTCTCGTTAGAAGGATTCCTCTATTCTTCCCTCCTTTAGGACCACAGCTGAAAATTTCACCCTCTTTTCAAAGCTAAGCTCCAGTGTCATCATCTTCATGAAATCATTTTCTTACACCTGTTTTGGAGGATTCTAAAATATCCTAACTGGTCTTTTAGTCTGTGTACTTATCCTACATATTTTATAATTATTGAAAATATGTATTTTTTTTTCCAAAAAAGGGATATGCCTTAACTTTAATTCTTAGAGGAAAATAGAGGTGTAATGAAACAGTATGAGAACTCCTAAAATAGTAGCAAAATTATAAATACCTGGGCAATCACAGCTTCTCGTGTTCCATAATATTTAAAGAACAGATGATCAGTCTGAATATAAAGCTGACAAGTATTTCTTTCAGCTGAAGTTGTACGTTTTTTCCTCAGGTGTTCTGGACCATTAACAGCATGTTCTTCTTGAGGTGTCTATATGTCAAAAAAAAAGTCATTTCTGATAATTAGTATGCTTCACTATTATTATAAATTTACATAGCTAAGAACACATTATGTAGAATTTCATATTCTATTTTATTATGGAACACCACAGGTATTCCCCCACACCGTTAAAAATTCTTCATAAACCTCACTTTGAGCCTCATAACATTCCACTGTATAGGTGATCTGTAATTTATTCAAGCAATTCTTCCACTTTTAAACATTTTCAAAACCTACCTTTTAATATGTAATCATTTAAATATAAAGCAAGTCTTATAGTTGTTTATAATACTTTGATATTGTCTTCTATCTCCCTCTAATACCCAATCTATTACCCAGTCCTGTCAAATTGATCCCTTAAATACCTAGGGAATATGCCCATTATCTAGGGCGCAAGCACATCACCCCAAGCTACCATCACTTACTACCTAGAATACTGCAATAATAGCAATATAATCCATCCATATCCACTACTGGCCTTCACTCTATTCTCCATACTGCATGCAATCTTTTCAAAATGCAAATTTGCAAATATAACCCACCTGTACAATAGATTTCAAGGCTTCCTCCTGCTCTAAGGATAAAGTCCTAAATCCTTTACATGTGCCACCAAATTAGCATTGCAGTCTCTGCTTACCTGCCCAGTTTCTTCTCGTTCTATATTATTTCAAAGAGAGAGACTATCTACCACAGAACTCAACTCTTGCTCTCTGTGCTACAGTTAAACAGGCCTTCTTTCCAATCCTCCACCATCGTCTGTCTCCTGACGGTCTCTGCACACACTACCATTGTCTCTCCTGACCTAGCTAACTTCTCCCTTCAGACTTAGCAAAGGTCAATTTATCCATCATACCACCTCACGGAACCATATTCCCATGTCCCTTACATAGTGCGACTTTAGTTTATTAGGTGGTGATTGGTTTAATTTCTGTCCCCAGCCCACCATCATTACTTCAACCACTAGAATATGAGCTCCAGAAAGAAGAAACTACCTCTGTGTTTGCTTCTCGATATACTGCTATCACCTAACACAGACTTGGCAGGCAAACAGTAGATATTCAGTATGTATTTGTTTTGTTTTTTAAGATTTTTTTAATTTATTTACTCATGAGAGACAGAGAGAGAGAGAGGCAGAGGGAGAAGTAGGCTCCCAAGGAGCAGGAAGCCCGATGCGGGACTCGATCCCAGGACCCTGGGATCATGACCTGAGTCGAAGGCAGACGCCCAACCATCTAAGCCACCCAGGTGCCCAGCAGTATGTATTTGTTTAAAGAATCAGCACTGCTACTGAACCCAAGCACTTAAACATTTGCTGACATCTAAGAGCTCCATTTTAAGTGAATTTTGATGACATAGTAACAGAGAATTCAAATTAAATTAGATTTTAAGCCACAATTCCAAATTTACACTCACATTTTATACTTTCCTTCTCCCTTGACAACTCCATGTTTGTTCTCTCAGTTACTGCCTTCATTTTACCTTTATTTATTTTCACTGAGTACAGCATTCTAGGATGGCAGTTACTCAGTTTCAGCATACTGCACTGTCTTCTGTTTTCAACAGTCTCCAATGAAAAATGAGCTGTCATTTCAACTGTTGCTTCTTTGAAGGTGACTGGACTTTTATTATTGGTTGCTTTTAAGAGTATATATCTTTTGGTTTTTAGACTTTTCTAATAATATGCTAGGGTGTTACTTTCATTGGAAAGTATTTATCCTACTCTAATTGCAGGGTTTACCAAATTTGTTGATATCCTCTATCATATTTGGAAAACTCTCTGCCATATCTGTCCCTATTTCACTCTCACTTTTTTCCCCCTGAGATATCAATTATACATATGCTAGACCTTTTTAAGGAATCCCTTATCTATCTTTTTTGTATTTTTCTATCCTTTTGTTTCTTAGTGGTTCACTCTGTTTTCTTATGATACACCATCCAGCTCTAAACCCATCAAATTCTTTATTTCTGCTGTTATACTTTTCAATTCTAGAATTTTCATCAGGCTCTTTTTTTCATTTTCAGTTTTCTGCTGTAATTTTAAATTCCATCTTTATGTATTTGACCATGTTGAAGTCTGTATGTGTCTGATCATTTCATTATATGGAAAACTTTAGGTTGTTTACATGTCTGGCATCCCAGCTAGAATGTAAGCTCTCTGAGGGTGTATACTCTGTGTCATTTATTCTTGTATCACTGATGTTTAATATACAATAGTTTTCCCCTCTTATTCTTCCATCATGTTGTCTTGTTTGTTCATAGGCTTATTATTTTTAACTGAGTGCCAGACAACATACATGAAAAACCTCAGATACAATTTTAGGCTTCAGGTGATGATACCTTTCTCAAGACAAGATTTATTTTTTCTTCTGGCAATCAGTTAGGCTTGATGCACTAGTAATCCTGGATCACCTTACTCTAATTAGACATTAAGCATCTGTGATACAGAATTTTAATCCCCGTGACAGAAGGAGGTAGAACATTTTTTGACTCACCCTTACTCCCAGGGAGTAGCCCTTCAAGATCCCAACCTAAAGCCCTTCTGAGAGGCCGTAAGTACTATTTTTATCCTTAGCCTCAAGAATCTGCAGAGTTCTACTCAGCTTCTCAGTCTCTCCGCTACCTTATCGAGAACTAGAAGATACACCTGGAGAAAAGATAGCCCCAAAGGCCATGCTCACTTGTCTAGGCGTTCTCATATTTTCCTAAGATCCAGCCCCATAATTCCTCACAGCCTTGTTCTCTCTCCAATGCCTCCAAATGCACACACAAACATGCACATGCAGACACACATATAAACATACACATAGGTACTTTTAAATATTTATATTTAAAAAATTTATGGGGCGCCTGGGTGGCTCAGTCACTTAAGCATCTGCCTTCGGCTCAGGTCATGATTCCAGGGTCCTGGGATTGAGCCCTGCGTCGGGCTCCCTGCTCGGCGGGAGGCCTGCTTCTCCCTCTCCCACTCTCCCTAGCCTGTGTTCCCTCTCTCGCTGTCTCTCTCTCTGTCGGATAAATAAATAAAATCTTAAAAAAAAAAAAAACAACTTGTATTTCGGGGTGCCTGTGTGGCTCAGTTAAGTGTCTGCCTTCAGCTCAGGTCATGATCTCAGGGTCCTGGGTTCAAGCCCCACATCTGGCTCCCTGCTCAGCAGGGAGTCTGCTTCTCCCTCTTCCTCTGGTCCCCCCCACCAGCTCGTGCTCATGTGTGCACACACACGCACGCTCTCTCTCTCAAATAAATAAAATCTTTTAACCAAAAGAAAATTTTATATTTTGACGCGAGGTTGGTTTTTATTAGCTGTTCTAAATAGGAAAAGGATTACTCTATTTCTTGAAAACAATTCCTTATTAGTTTTATGTATTGTGAATACTGTCTCAAAGTTTATAACTGTCTTCACTTTAAGGTGTCTTTTACTTTTAATTTTCATATAGTGAAATATATCAAATTTTAATAGTTAAAAGATATGTCATATTCAAAGTATTTCTCTACCCCAAAATCCAAAATATTTTTTAATATCTTTTCAAATGCTTTGCCCATTTTTTAACTGGAGCTCATGCATTTTTTTTAAGATAAAATAGTTCTTTGTATATTCTAGAGAAGTTTTTGTCAGATGTACTGCTGACATTTTTGCACAGTCTCTGGCTTTTTACATTTCTTTTTTCATTTTTTTTTATGTTATGTTAATCACCATACATTACATCACTAGTTTTTGATTGGCTTTTTACATTTTCTTAACTGTGTCTTTTGAGATTTTAATTTGACAGAGTCCAGTTGATAAATTTTGTAGGGTATTTTTGTATCCTAAAAAATTGTTGCCTATGCCAAAGTGACAAAAATTTCTTTTTTTCTAGAAGTTTTAAGTTTTAGCCTTAAGCATACAGATTTATTATCTATTTTCAGCTAATTTTTATATAAGGTGTAGTGTACAGGCTGAGGTTTGATTTTTTTTTTCTATATGGATATCCAATTAATTATGCCAGTACCATTTGTCAGACTGCTCTTTCTCGGGACTTTTGTGAAAATCAACTGACCCTAAGGACTCTCTCCTTAGGTCAAGAGGACACTATCTTGACTACTGTGGCTTTAAATCAAAATCCTTTAGCTTTGTTCTTTTTTGAAAATTCTTTTGACTATTCTAGGTTCTTTACATTTCAGCCTATCAGAATCAGTTTATCAATTACTAGATAAATCCCCATTGAGATTTCAATAGGGGCTGCACTGACTGACTCTGCAGAACAATTTGGGGAAAACTGACAGTATATATTGAGTCTTCCAAACAATAAACACAGTATATTTCTGCATTTAGACATTTAATTTTTCTTGGCAATGTTTTATAGTATTCATATATCTCTTGTGCATATTTTATTAAATTTATTCTAAGTATTTTCTATTCTTAATGATATTTTTAGAGGGCTTTTTAAAATTTCATTTTCTAAATGTTCATTGGTATTGTATAAGATACGACTAATTTTTTTCATACTGACTTTGTATCTATCCTATATCCTTGGTAAATTTACTTATTAATTTTGTAACTTTTCCTAGATTCATCAGGATTTTCTAAGCCTACTCTCAATGTCACCTACAAATAAATGCAGTTTATTTCCTTTATAGTCTGTATGTCTTTCATTTCTTTTTCTTGCCTGATTATGCTATGACCATGATGTGTTATCTTCTTTTATATATTGCTGAGTTTGACTTAATATTTTGTTTAAGAAATTTTGCATATATATTTAAGTTATATATATATTATATATATATATATATATATATATTGGCTTGTAGTTTAGTTTTCCTGTAATGTCTTTGTCTGGTGTGGGTATCAGGGTAATGCTGCTCTGACAGAATGTGTGAAGAAGTATTCCCTTCTCCTTTATTTTCTTAAGAGCTTTGTGTAAGATTGTTTTTTTTTTTTCTTTCTTAAATGCTTAGACTTCTATTGTGAAATATCTGGGCTTGAACTCCTTGATGGAAAATTATTAAGTATCAA